TTCTAAAAAAACAAAAATCTATCCCACGTGAATCGTACATTTTTCCGGTTTAATAAGTAGCCTATGTGTTATTCTGATGTATTAGCCATATTATTATAAAGCTCCATTCAGTAGTTTTTGCCTGAAAGAGTAACAAACATCCATACATCTATACATCCAGATATACATCCTCAGAAACTTTTGGATTTATAATACTAGTAGAATCCGCAATTCTTGTAAAGGAAAAATTTTAACCTGCTCTAAATAGAGCAGTATCACACAATTTCTTGACGGACTTACCAGACACAACTTCTCGGAACGTATTCTTAATTTACGTCTTTAAGTACTAAGAACGCCGACTCATTGCATTATTTTAATTGTTGTCGAAAGATAAACGGTAGCGTGAGAATATCGCCCACGGTCGATAGGCCGGTTCTCATGGGCATTCCCTGCGCTACTTGCGACTACGATAACGCATTGAATTGCAAACAAAGGCATACGGTTATATTTGTAAGATTTTCACGATTATATACCACTCTTATAAATAAGGGGTAATGTTTATGCATATGTCACCAGTAACTTTTAACCTTTTTTTATCAATAGGTCTTTATTTATAAACCTAATAGAAATTATACATATATGTAAGTAGGTATCTATGTATTGTATATGATATATATCATTAATTCCAGACAAAGCTAGAGCGGATTGCTTGTAATGATAGTATGTGCAGTTTTATAATTATGCCGAAAGTGACGGTCGAAAAAAATATTTAATACACATTACTACAATGAATATGGTACAAATATTTTTATATATTCATTTATTCTCAAATGTAAACTACGAAATTAAACATTACAAAATCCGGAATATCCAACAATCTTTCAGTTGGGTATGTGAAGTAACTTTTGAGTCATGTTTGTCTACCAATGTCGTCACTCCACACCTGAAGTATCTTTACACAATGATCTCTTTAGGGCGAGCACTCGAAGTGCTTGCTCTTTATAAAGATACTGCTATTTTAGGACTTTACAACTTACCATAATACTAAAACATTTTAAGATAATAATGATATAAAATATACTGAGAAAACATATATAAAATAAATTATGACAAGTAAAATCTAAATATTTCGAAGATAATAAGTAATTGCTGCTAATTGTAAGTTTACTTCTTTTATGTTTTTAGTGAAAAACTTTATTGGCTTAAGATTTTTGTTTAGAAGTGTTTAACTAAATTTTATTAAATATACGCTGAATGTTTCTCAATGATAAATAAATAAATAGTCATGCTCATATCCAACGTGGTCTGTACATACACGATCCAAGTGTTTAGTATCAGTAATCAGATACAAGCGGCAATCCTATGATAACATGTCAAATACTTTATCGCATTCTTTGCCGACATTCACTTATGTTGCACATAAAATCGATGTTACTAGAAGTAACTATATCCACAATGAAACCCTACATGCAATCTAAAATCGGTTGAACTGACTTTAGTTTATGCACTAAAGCTTAATCGAATATACCTGCTCTCGGAATAGATTTGAATGACGGAGCACGTGGACCAATCCGATCGCTGCTCATTGAAAATTGTTGAATAATAATAAAATTCAATTCGCGTTGGAGGAAGGCTATTTCAATTAATTTAGTGCCAGGAACTGGCATTTCTGTTTTGACTTATCAACAAGGAAACACTCTGAGAGAAAGAGTTTATTATGGAGAACAAACATCATAAAGTCAATGTTATTACAATTATTTTTTCGTTTCGTTAATATGTAGTGAAATCAGAGATGATTTTACATACTCACTTAAAAATTTTACCGAAACGTGTGGCAAAATTGACATACATACATTTATCATAAAACTGGCGAGCCACGGTTGCAAACAGTCGCTTGTAATGAGAATAATGATGGAAGCTTGCGCCATAGATCAGGCTGCGCGTGCGCCGCTTGCCGATAGCGGGAAATTGCCGACACTTGCGTAAATACGGTAGCCTACGCCGCGGGCGTTAAAATTAAACGCTCGAGATAAACCCGAGCCTAAATAAGCTTTCTTGATCTCTATCTCTTTATATCATAATACTACTCTGAGCTGAATATGCAATGACGCGTACTTCTTCAACTATACTGCATATCATTTAATTATCTTATAATCTTGGTTCGTGTTCTGTTTGAAATCTTTTACCTGTCTCTATGAATGTTGTAAACTTTATTATGTCATCGACTTTTATAGCTCTAATAGTGTTAAAAGTATTATAGAAATTTTAAAAAATAATTAATAAAACCATTCCAAAGAAGAAATTAAACCATAACAATCACAAACTTTTATATAATAATGTTTTGTATTTAATGCAATTAAAAGTGTTTGCGTAAATACATAATATTTCCTATAATTTGTAGAGTCGCGCTGTCTAGTTGAAAGCCGAACGATTTCATAGAATAACAAGTGGGTCACATTGCATCAGTACGATGCATATCGTTATAGACACCATGCCGTTGATTGCAAATGAAACTTATTAATTTATTACACATAGGTACAATAACTATTACTAAAATTATAGGTATAATATTGTTAGCATACTCATCATATTTTTACATCTTTTAATTTAAAATATCTGTATTTATTATAATGAATTAAAGAGGCAATAATAATGTGTTAAATAATAATGATTTATAATTTGATTTATATAAATACGATGGCATTAATGGCAACATTCTTTTTTTGATTATTAAAAATGTATGTGACACAACTGTCATATTGACAGGGTGTGAGAGTGCGAGTAACGGTCCGGTGTGTTATTTCATTATTGCAAATTTAAATTATTTAAATACATTAATAAACTATGGTGATAATTGAGTATTTCATTTAAAGTGCAATGCCAATAATATTTACAAACTGTTGACTTGAATGTTTTTTTTTTGCAATATATCATGGAAATTCCTTCCATCTGGGCTACTCATAGTGAGTAATTTATTTGGCCGCATACGTAACCAAGGTCTTCTTCTATGAATCGTCTTTTGTGGTTACACACAGACGTAATTTGTTGTGGTTATGATCAAAGAAAAATTAATATTGATACGTATAGGAAAAGTTTTCACTTTTTTAGTATACCTAATGCATAAAATGTATTACGTAGTACCGAACTGTTACGTATTCTGTGGTAATATTGTTTGAAATGTTTATAACAATTTTCTAAAGTAACACTATAAATTAAGTATGTTGAAAAGTTTTAATCGTATATTAGCTTACAAAGAGAAATAGTAATTAAATATGCAGTCACGGTCATCAGGACAATTACAATAAACAATTATGTTGATGATAGATACGATACTTCAACAAATATGATAAATAGTAAATATATCGTTTTCAGTTAGCTGTTAGCACTTCCTTCAATAGATGCACATCTGATCAGTGAGTAATACGGCTGCATCTGTCGTTCTTGGAAACCTCCCAGGACATTGTCGAGGGCCGGGAACAATCTTCTAAGAACTTAGTCGCCTTGTTGCCCTTCTTCATGGCTTATTGTTTAACGTTGTCAAACGTCCTAACACTTGTCGAGTTGATTTCACTTGGACTTCCTAGTTGTATTCTAGAATCTAGACTATAGTTGTCTGATGTTGGATCGATATATAGTTTACAAGAAGTACTCTTACTAGAATCATATATTTTTGAAATGAATACTTACCATGATATTAATAATTATTATTAATTATGATTTATATTAACTAGATAGATACCTTTAAAATTATGATTATGAAAATTTTCTTTGCTAACTAAACTAGTTGTAATCGTATAAACAATATTTTATGTTGTAGGCATTTAATATTTGCAATATAATGTACTTAAAAAAGATATGAAATGTACATGTTCACGGTTCTAGAAGGATACGGTGATTGGAGATCATTAGACAAATTCTGAGCACTACTTACAGCTGTAGCAAAAACTGATGTGCGTCATTTCACTGCGGCTCTATTGGATAAAGTGTTTTTTTCGTGATCACTTGTTGGAACGTAAGAACGCCGGTCTAGGGTACGTTGACCGTGTTTTTACTTTAGGGGATTGAATACTGCGGACACGTGACTGAAAGTTCTTCCAAATCGTACTCATCATTTTCGTTGCAGTGTTACCAGCTAGAAAATTGTAACCTAGTTTACAACTGGTTCATAAATTACGTTGAACGATTTGACGGTAGTATTTATTAAGAGTATTATATTAAAACAGCTTCATTTTATGCTGATATTTGTATAATGTTTTATTTTTGGCCCATCTTTATTGTACGCAACTTTGATATATTACACTCAATAATCACATTTATGGTGCTGAAGTGAAAAAAGATATAATTATTCTTATAATTATTGTTCTATGTAGTGTGTAGAATACAGATTATTAAACTTGAATTACAGTATATTGGAATAAATTATAAATTATTTATTTTATCAAAGAGAAATTTAGTTCCTTATTCCATGTTAAAATTTATTTATCAGCTTGTACGAATTTGATGTTTTAATTCACGATTATCTTTTATTAACCGTAAAGAAAGTTTAGGCGGATATTTTTATGATATCGAAGTTATCGCATCTCCTGCATGTAAATCAAGGTGTACGTTCGTCGTATGTACTACGCTATATTGTATAGGTATAGATATCGTGGTGAGCGGATATCGGGTGCGCGCTGAGCACGCGGTACGAGCGCGTCCAGTCAGAGTGCCGCCGCGCTGCTAAACAGACGCACGCGCGACCTGCACGTGCAACCCACAGCTCGTACACAACCGGTTCATCACTGAAACCAAACTGGGGGCTTATTATTTCACGTAGCCAAATATATGAACGATGTCCATTTGCATGTACCTATTCTGCCCGTGGTTTTTTCTCGTAATCTACCTAGCGTTTCTTATGCTGGACGTGTGAGCCGCGAAAGACGCAAGTCGAAGGTAGCGAACGGAACAGGCGTTAGAGCGCAGGCGCGAAGCGACGATCGATACTTTGCGTTACTCCGGGCCGCCACGACACGAAGGTATCAGGCGCGTGTGGCGGACACGCAGGGAAGCCGCGGGTGTCGCCGGTGCAGTCGCTGGTCCCGCCAGTGTGTTATGCGGGGCGGTTGACCAGCGTCAGGCGTCATGAGCGCGGCCGCGCCGGAGGTGCGCGGCCCTCCGGCCGACGCCGCCTCGCCGCCTGTCGCACTACCAAGGATTAAGCCCGAACTAGGACTGAATGATGCCACGCTATTTGCCGTGTACTGCTTCATTAAAAATTTCATCGGGTGAGTCTTTTTCTTATTGGTTGGTTAAATTCGTTTATTTGGTTGTTCGGCAAGTCATTTATGATAATGCCGTCCTTGCTTAGGTTTCAGATCAATAGACTGACGAGGTTATGTTTGAGTCGATGATATATACTTATTATCGTTTGACTCCGCTAAACCTAAACAAGGGCTCTTTTGATGGCGTTCATATTATAAATTTAGTGTCGGCTTGTCATAATGTTCTTTCCTGTGTTATTACTTTACAGTTTAAAGCACTGCCTGATGCAAAGGGCGAATAGGGCGAATATGGACGTTCTTTAATCAATAATAAAGCCTAGTCTTAGTTTTTGAAAAAGGTTACAACATACATTTTTTTTATTTATATTTACTTATCAGTTGACTTTCAGATTCATAAAATGTGTAGTTAGTATATTTTTAAAATCTTCATTTGGTTATATATATTGGTTACTTACTCTCATTCTGCTCGAAACAGGTACCTATTCTTTATTCATTATCACCACAATAAACGTGACATAATATACTATTAGCAAATTAAACAATAACACTGCAAGGTCGTTGAATGATTTATTATTAATACATTTTTATGACAAGCCTTTTGAACTTGAGTGGATTAAGAAATTTTAAATATACGAGTATTATCGGTTAAGAAGTATTTCGCAATTAAAGCATTACAATATATCTATATATCTATACATATAATAAAACAGTAACTTAGCAAAATCGATTTGCGCGTTTCACGCAAAAAGTACTGAACCCATTTTTATTAAATTTTGGGAGTGTTAACTTATTACTCGTGTCAACATTTAAGATACCTTTTTACTACAGGAAAATCTTTCATTCCCACGGGAAAACACAATAACTAGTTCTATAGAATCAAAGTGAACTATATATTTTAACTAAATAATTTTAAAAGCCATTCTAAAATAATGCTCATGCCGTCAAACAGACTGATTAAGATTCCAGAAGAAATATCTTCGTCGCTATTTTTTTCGTTTATGTAACGTGATTCTCCATACAAACTTTTATCCCCATTTTCACTCCCTTAAGGGATGATTTCCAGGATAAAAAGTATCTTATGTCCTACACAGGGTCTCAACCTAACTTCTTATCAAATTTCATCTAAATCGGTTCTGTAGATCCAGAGATTACCCCTTACAACGTCACAAACTCACAAACCTACCTCTTTATAATATTAGTATAGATAACTAAGCAAACCATTTATCTATACATATAATAAAATTGTATCTAAGCCGAATCTGAGATATTTTTTGGAAAATCTTATTGAAATAAACATTATTGTCGATACAGAGGCCGAATCTATAGTTTTTAGAATTTTTGTCTGTCTGTCTGTCTGTTACCGCATTACAGAAAAACCACTAGAGGGATTTTAATTAAATTTGGTGTGGTGATAACTGGTTATCCGGGTCAACATATAGGATACTTTTTACCTCGGGAAAATATCTCATTTCTGAGAAAAAATACAAAAACTGCAATCTAAGAGTATACTAATATGTAAAACCTAAGTAGTTGGTTTTTGGTCATCTGAACGCGGGCGGAGCCGCGGGCAATGCTAGTCTAACATAAATGTTAATTATTTTTTATTGTTTGAAGTAAACCTTGAATGCACTTGAACATTGTAATAAAAATACATATTATGTTGTTATCAAAATTTGGGTAGATACTTACGATAAGCCTGCGCTGTAAATAATATATCGAAAATTAATTCCACACCGTTGACCGATTTACACGCGAAAAACGTTTTCTTCAATATTTTTCTAATGTCTGTTGTAGCAGATAAGAGCAACTGATACATGTTCAACCTTGAGCGGAATACTAACTGCCCACGCCCGTATTTGTTAACCTTTATAAGGTGATAGCTATTTTAAAACGCCATTTATTTTGTTCATATTTTCAGTCTTTTGTGTTATTAGCAGATTTATATCATTTAAAGCGTCAATTTTGGTTATGGTCACATAAAATACGAAAATTCAATATTTAGATATTATACCATTTTAATAGCAAAAACACATTATTTAATTTAGGGAAACGAGACAATAGGGTGCAAAAATGAGTATCATATCTTTAAATTTTAACGAAGCAGTAGATTCTATTAATTAATAACTAGCGACTCACCCTCGCTCCGTTCGGGTTCGTCCCTAGCTTACTTCCAAATACAAACTATCATCCCCATTTTCACCCCTTTAAGGGATAATTTCCGGGATAAATAGTATCCTATGTTCTTCCCAGCGTCTTAAACTATCTTCTTACCAAATTTCATCTAAATCGGTTCAGCAGATCCAGAGATTACCCCCTACAACGTCACATACTCACAAACTCACAAACTTTACCTCTTTATATATATAGCATAGACTAGCGAGTGAGTCCCTAGGTTTGTTTTAAATAAATACAAACAGCTATTAGCCAGCTGCATGTAAATTTTTATTAAATTTTTTTCGTGATTTTTTCAATGTTTTATTAGTTATTCTGCTATTCAGGGTGGAGACAAATCCAACAAACCAAAGATCATAAAAATCGGTCCCGATTGGACCGATTTTCTTGAGTTATAAATGGTGTAACTAACCCGACTTTGTTTATATACATAGATATTTAGAAATTAGACAATTTTGGTATGATTTGCCAATATGTTCTCTAAAACACCTTTATTTTCCAAGCGAATTATTAATTTTATTTGTTAATGAAAGGGTACATATAATATTTAATAAATTCTTAGTAAAAACATTGTTGGTCGTAAATATGTTAAACAGGAAATGAAATATGATTTTCTTATTCGCAAATATTATTTTACACCGTTTAGTATTTGCAATATCACTATCTATCGCTATGTAATATAACACAATGCTCGAACGTTGTCCTTGTGGCAAGTAATAATATAATCGCTAACGTGGCTACAATAGACAAATTAAGATAGATGAATGTGTTCCTCTGAACTCTTTCCACTGGCCGATTGCATTGACCGACTTGGCAGTTACTCGACCGTTTCTTGTACTTCGCAAATGCAATCGTAATTAACGCACTGGCTTTTCATTTTACATAGCTAAATAGAATATCGTCCTATTTACCTTGTGTCAGCTAGTTTGATTTAATATCAACAAGTGCATATTTTTACTAATTGCCTAACCTTGTATCTAGGTGCTGATGTGTAGTAGGTAGCTTTTATAATTTATAAGTTATGTGCATCTTACATAAACATGTTAAAATCATTGTTCTATCGACAATTTACCTTGGAGAAGGATTATTCATAGACTTTCTAACTTACAGTATTTATAAATACAATCCTCCAATCACTTCGTTTACTGGCTGGCTTGTCATATGCGTAGTTTTTTGTAACTGCACGTTCATTAAAGTTTTATATTTTGAACAGATATCATCTGAAGAACCGTTTAGATAATATAGAATTACACGATGCATTTGAAACGGATTTGATTAGTGGTTGAACTTAGGATGCAAACCAATGCTTTGTTCTATTAGCTATCATCATCACTTTCACAATAACAAAAGGGAAAGTCGGTGGCGCCCGCTCCCTTGCGGTCAGATTAGCTCGAGCTATTGCCCAGCTAATTCCTCTTGTTTATTTCATTTCACACTAATGACTGCCCACTAATAATCTCCCGATTTCACTGTGAAAACACTTGTTGTACGCATTTTCCTACCTAAAATTAACGCGTTGTCGCAAGTTTTTATTGTTGCTCCTTTATATACTTATAGTGATTTTTACCATATATTTTTTATACGTTATGTAAATTTATGCATAACATGTTACATAATACCGAAAGACTGTATCGACAGCACGTATTTTGATTTTATCAATCGAAATATCAATCTCAACCATAAATTTTTTCAGCGAAACCATACTTATTTGTCATGTGCTATCAACTCAGTCGTTTTGTCACGTTATATCATTAACATATGTTAAAAGAAAAATATAAAGAATTGATTCCCCGTATAAACTTTCATTTTCACCCCTTTAAGCGATGATTTCCGGGATAAAAAGTATCCTATGTCCTTCCCAGGGCCTCCAACTATCTTCTTACCAAATTTTATCTAAATCGATTCAGTAGTTTCAGAGATTACCCCCTACAATGTCACAAATTCACAATTCACAAACTTTACCTCTTTATAATTTTAGAGATAGATTACCAAAAAAATTCAAGCTACGGAAGATTCCTCCAAGCACATTTACACCAATATCGATGGCCTCATTAGTTTTTCCTGTGTTTGCATCGCGAGTCATCTCTTTGTGTCTTAAAATTTATTTTATTGCCTTAGACATAAATAGTTTCACAATCCAATTATGATTATTTGAGTTTTGATCTATCTATAACATACATGTAGGCTTATAACATATATGAACCCATTATTGATACCAACAATCCCTTAAAGGCAACGTATATTATATTTTGTAGATGTTGTAAATGTCCATGAACAACGATAAATCAACTTACCTACCATCGTGTAGATCGCTCATTCGTTTACCCTCTTTTTCAAAAAAAAACTCTGCCTAGTCCTCGAACCCGCGACACCTGGCGTAAAGACAATTACTAATACTACAGTTCACTATAACCAGGAGGGTCGCTAGATCGCGTGGATAGGTTACGAACATTAACAATGGTTCTACTCATCAGGTCTAGCTTACACTGCCTATCAGCTGTCAGCTCTCGCAACGATGCGTTTCGATATGATGGGAGATAGTGCGTGTCATTACAACTGCACGTAACGAACGTTGCATAACTTACGCTAACACAGTTCGCATTCGAATACTGTTATATCACTTTATTAGTATCATTAGATGCTATCAGCCGAATTTAGTTAACAAGTCCATAATATTGTCCACAGCATTTTTATACAAGAAAAGTTTTTTTTTAGTTCTAAATTGGCCGTCATTTGAATTATTATTTATTCGTTACATTAACTCATTTCCTAAATTCGAAGTAATATAAATTATAAATAATTATATAATCATAAAACTCGTCTCATTTTTTAATCAAAAGCATGAAGAACTTCGTCATAATTAAGACATATCTTCGTGTTTAATTATTTCGATAACACGTTTGGTTCAGTTTGTAGTGACCCTAGTTGCTGTGCCAACGGTCGCGGGTTTGAGTCCCGCTGGGGGAATTAATTTGTGTGATGAGCACGATTTTTTGTACTCCAGTCATGGCTATTTATATTTATGTAAATAACTACAATAATTATAATTTAAGTTTATTACAAAACCATTTCAGTATAATATGGTTGATATATATAAGTTATAGGTATATGTACAACATAGAAGATCTCATGCATTTGTTTTTATTATTGTTAGCTTTTTTCCATTCATAATACTGACATATCCTCGATGTTATTTGTACTGTGACGTTTCAGTTGTTTATATAATTATGTATTTTATTTATTACACTACTAGAAATTTCATAAATTATATAAATTAGTTAAACAAGCTAGACGGCCAAGAGCAAGTCGTGATGGCACCGATATTGTCTACTGTGCCATGGATAGTGGATTCGAATCCCACACATAGGTTTTTTCTTTTACATCTGTTCAATTCCTTTAACCAGTGCCTGTTCGTTTTGTCACCCCTAATCTCTTCAATAACTTTAACATAACAGTATTATTTTTATTTTTAGCTTCAATTAGTTAAAGTTCTCAAACGTTAAGCTTATTTGTTTTTTTAACTGGAGGATAGCAATATGTGATAGAGATATTTAATTAACAAATCAATTTCTAGTCACATCTAACGGACGTCTTATATATTAATATATAAAGTTTGAACATAACTCGTACAAAACAATTAAATTATATTTATTTTATGATAGCGTTTATTTCTTATTTTTATTCACAGTAGTTCCATTTATATTTAAACCTGCTTAAAGAACCGTCCTTACCATTACGTAAAGTTTAAAAATACATAATAATTAAGTGATAAAAATTAATTCAAGTATAACGTGGTAAATTTGAATATATATACCTGTAATTTAGTGCATATTTGTAGATCTTGACCTTGTTTTAATGAACAAATTTAAAAAATATATTTTAAAACTTGTACATTGCTATTTTTTCTGAAAATTTGTTTAAGATTTGTTTATAATTTAAATGTTTATAATTTTCGTTATTTATTACTCTGGTGACGATATACGACATTCATCGAGAAAGGCTAGATGATTTTCAAGGACATTTTCATTCATTGTACAATTATGGAGAAAATTAAATTCGTAACTAATTTTATTATTATAGTAATAATAATGGGTCGAGTAAACCCAAATATACAATTCCAGTTATTCATTGTAAGCACTCTTGTATCAGAACGGGGTCATGCTTATTGATTGTGTACTCGATAGAAATATGCCCACACGTAGCTGCAGGCAGTAGCTAGTTTAAAATAAACACGAAATCCTTAATCTATCGACTAATGTCGCAAAAGTTATATATGGTTAAATAAAAATCGCCTTGCGTAGTGTTGCGCAACAGCGTTGCATCTGCACTTTGCTCTGATGCATACTTAAAACCTGTTGCGTATGATTGCGTTCACTTTTATAAGCTCAAGCTCCATGTATTATTGCGACTTCTTCCTAATCCATAAATATTGTCTTAATATCTCTTATCGCTGTGTGTAAACCGGAAATTGTTTATATAGCCTCAATAATGTGTTGAATATTTTGTTTCAAATTTCCGGAGAGTAAGGAAAATAGAATTTATCAAATAATAAAAACGTTTTAACGGTTGGTTTGAAATACAAATCTTTGAATTTCTCGGTTTTTCTGTACTATAGTATGCATGTATGTAATATGCATTTAAACCTTCCTCTTGAATCGCTCTATCTATTGCTGAAAACTGCATTAAAATTCGTTGAGTAGTTTTAAAGATCTTAGCGAGGAGACAGCGGAAGCGACTTCATTTTATACTATGTAAAGATATTTGTTTACTAAAATAATATTTGCTATAGTATTTTTGTTTTAATAATCCCATTAAAGTTACATTTATTATATATTTTATCAATAGATTTTCTAAGTTCCTTGACCTTGCTTAATATTTTTTTGATTGAGTAAAGATTAGACACTTGAGATGGCAAAGTAATAGCAAGTGATTTTGTGTATTCGTCATATCAACGCGGACCGTTAGATGATTAGCTAGACATCTCATCTCATATATTGATTGACGTCGCCACAAGCTATGGCGCCACCCTTCCATACCGCCCCATTCACGCAAGGACGCTGGGAATAGGGACGCGCGCACTCAGTGTGTACACGAATCCCGTGAACGGAAGACGTATTTCACAAAATTTTAACATAACAAATACCGCGAAAGTGATCAAAGGTGTTCTCTTAATTGAAACCCATCGTCAGGTGCCCTGGAGGACCGTTTGAAATACCATTTGTAAGTTATCAACTTAATCAAACTATCGGCCTATGAAACGCTTAACTAGGTCACGCTTCCGCGTCCTCAACCCGAATACTTTTTATTCGCGTATAACGTGCTCTGTTGTTCTACACTTATGTTACCACTGTTGATTAAAAATATCCACATAATTTTCTAATTATAAACTCGATTACTTTTATTCTCTGTTCCTGTTCCTATATTATTAATTATTTATACAATCGTCGAGACATAAATTTCACGTTATTGTTTTGCATGCAATATTGTTTTTTAAACAGGAAGTTTGTTTTCAATAAGAAAATTCAATATAATAAATATTAATAAGTGTATCGACCAACGCAATTTAGTTAATACCAGAACTATCTATAAACGATTTTAAATTAGTACTACCTACCTGTTGATCATGAATGGTATTCAAGTTTTGTTGCAAGTCTAGATATATTTACAAGAGTCCCGGAAATTGAACAGACTTCCTCCCAACATTGTAATATGGTCGGAAGCATTAGCCTCTACGCCTGTCGATTACGCTCCGATAATCTTGATATTCTCATTATTCGATAGGAGAAAGTTCTATAACGTACATATTATAATGCTCTTGTTCATTTAAAACTCGGTAGATAGTTGTTGATCCATGGAAACATATTGTTTCGCAATTACACAACATGGCATTTTGTTATTGCTTGTATAATGAGTTAAACACATTCTTAACTCATAATACGTAACCCTTACGCTACGCGCTTGTTAGTTTCTGTTGGGAGTGTGCTAGTCTGATGCTCTTCTACTACTTTTCTAATGCAATACTTTATCATAAATTAGTTTGAACCTATACATAAATTATTTAAAAATTGATTTGTCTTATAGAATATACCACGAAGATGTAATTACATACAATAAATCAAACCTTTGTAACTATGAATTAGTAACATTAATTGCGGTTTGCGCATGACACATTAAACCTCGGACTTTGTCCTCCCCCATCAGTAAATAAAATAAATATATTGTTGTGTAATCGAAAATCTATGGTAAATTTTTCATCCGCTTGTTTTCATTTATTTGTTTATTTTCTAGTTGTCATTTTGGAAAAATCACTTGATCCCAGTTTATTATTGTCGACGTTGCCATCGTGCGCTCGCTCGTCCACACTTCCTGTGGCGTCAGGTGGTGCTATTTCTACCTCTCCGTGAACCGACCCGTCGCACGATTCACGTTCAAAGTCGGTTATTTTAAATTTGAGAACAACTACTGCTTTGTTTTTTCTTTTACTCTTTTTATATTTTACCACATTTTCTATCTGTTCTTTCTATTATGAGTGAATTTAAATTTTAAACCTGTGAAGAAATTTATCGAACGTTATTATTTAGACCTTGATATTTTTTTTTTATAAATGTGATAAGCTACTTAATTAAACATGAATTATTACTATCTTTAAAGCAAATTAATTTCACTATACAAGGCTGATGATGATACAAGAATGATGTAGTAATTAATATTCGCGAAAAATGCTATTGGTACCAAAAGTGAGGCAATAATTTATTCGTAATAATATCAGACGTCGACAAACATATTCCCGCCTAAATATAAACGAAATATTTGTTTGCTTACACTGTCTACTTTACGCACTCATCGGGCACTTATAAAAAGCACGAGGTCAGAGTCGAGTTCGGACGCACAGTGCGGTACTCACACGCGACCCGTATACACGCCCGTGTCGATATCGATGCTTCATTATCCATCACGTGCAACATCGGTGACGTCAGGTTGCAATGCAACTGCCGCGCCAATGCTTCTTGGCAAGACGATTGATTGAGGGATCTCTAACACTAGTGTGCGTATCGCGGTGGTGATAAGTCGTGTCCGCATGGTGCAAACTTTGATGGCGGAGTTGCGGGTGCTGATAGGGAAGAGGGCCCCACCCGGAGGCCCTCCCTCTACGCCCCCGCCCGCCCAGTACCAATACACGAGGAGAGATCTAAAGACAAACCTACACAGACACATGAGTATTGTGCTTGACAGGTCAGTAACTGATAACAACTTTACACATAACCTACATATGTACATTGTACATAGGTGTATTTGTTCCTATGTCGCAAAGACCTAATCATAGTACATTCCATGAAAATTTACTATCGCCTAGTAGTTGTTTTTTTGATGTAAAACATTGCAAGTTCCTGTTGCGACACGAAGCGTTTATATTTCGTAACCCTAACCACAGCGGTTAAAAGAAAGGCCGTTGTAACAATCGTGTCTCAAGGTAACGCTGAAGCACCTATCACCAACGCGCCCTCGTGGTACGCTTTAATTTACTTTAATTAAACTATAATAAACAAGAGTCAAGACACTTTAACACCGTCAATTGATAGAAGCTATGTTTCCAATAGCAAACGACGAGGTGATTGGCTCAATGTCTATTGTTACTATAGAACAATCTATGTACGTTAGTAACTTGTGAGATTCTTCTAGACTGTTTCTATAATTTGTGAATTAAAAAAGAAATACCATATTGTACTTTCGTGTAAATTAATATTATAGTACTGTAAATTTTAAATATTCATTGTTTACAGGATGACCTTCATATTTTACACATAGTCAAACAAACTAAGCTTCTTTTTCCTCTATAAATAATAATTAATTAGATAATCATTCGAGTATATTTAGGTTGCGTATCGCTAGATTATACGATAAAAGATAAAAAAATATCGAAAATAAATATAAAAAAGATATAATTACTACAGCTACATAATAATCTATATATATATATATATATATATATATATATATATATATATATATATATATATATATATATATATATGTATATATATATATATATATATATATATACCTATATAAAAATCAATTGCTGTTCGTTAGTCTCGCTAAAACTAAAAAATGGCTGGATTGATTTCAATAATTCTTTTTTTTTGTTTTTGTGCGTCAGGAAATTAGTTAGGTAGTTTGAAGCTGAAAAATCGAAAAGTTTAGAAATGTTTATTTTATATGGTAATCACTACTTCGGGTTACTTTTAATAGTGGCACACCATCTACAACAATACTTCAAAAATTGGAAAAAAATATATAAAAATAATATATAGTCTATCTATTCCATACTAACCGTTTAAAAGTACCTAGGGACAAAGCCTGAAGAAGTGTGCCGCTACTTATAATATAACTAGCATTGCCCGCGGCTCCGCCCGCGTTCAGATGACCAAATACCAAATTCTTAGATTTTACGTATTAGTATACTCTTACAATGCAGTTTTTATGTTTTTCTCAGAAATGAGATATTTTCCCGCGGTAAAAAGTACCCTATATGTTGACCCGGATAACCAGCTATCACCATACCAAATTTCAACAAAATCCCTCCAGTGGTTTTTTTGTGATGCGGTAACAGACAGACAAAAATTCTAAAAACTATAGATTCGGTCTCTGTATCGATAATATTGTTTATTTCAATAAGATTTTCCAAAAAATATTTAATGTACAGATTCGGCTTAGTTACAATTTTATTATATATATGCTATATATGTCGGCCATGCCACATGCCTCAATCATGTTGGCATCTGGCTTGATTAATCATGTATACCTTAAGAAAGGTCGCATCACTGACAAAAATTTTTTTTTTTATATTAAGTAATAGGGTCGCTACTGCCCAAGATATTACAATAGATTGCTTTTTAAAATAAAAAAGATATTGTATATAACTTTCCAAAAATCTTTTTTTACCTTTACTTTCTATTAGGTATGCTGTCAAATTAATGTTGCGGTCGCAAAGATTAACGCGTAGCTGCATAGGTAGAAACGACTTTTAGGATCGTGTTTTCAAGGTATTTGCATATTATAAATTACAAATAACCTGAGAAATGGCAATTATTTAAACGCCGCTGAGATCAAAATTACAATAACAATATACTCGTATATGCGTAAATTAATATAGACGAATATAGATGTTTTAATTTTTATAAGCTCCGTTATCGATTGTGTAAGAATAATTTTAATTTAATTACGGTGATAAGATTGAATAACATATACCTATAATAAAAAACAACCGCTGGTTTTTCGTCTTATTTTAATAAAAATGCCTTTATTATTACACAAGTGTTTAATTATAATCAATTAACGTCACAATCCTGTATTAAATCTAATAACTAAACTTTCCAATACCTCAATAATCCAACCGTTATCGTTCATATAACATTTACTTTCCAGTTCAATTATCACATTGGATTTAGATAACCTTAGACGTAAGAAAACACCAAATGAAATCATATTTTATAATAGATACCTGGATGGAATCCAACAGAATGTGGCCGAGATGGTACGACCGAGTTGTACCTTCGACACTCCTACGATAGGAGTCACTCGACGCTTGTCATGTCATTTACCGCAAATATCGATATCATCGCACACGTTCGGATTACGACAGGCGGCGGGGGTGCTTTGTAGTTGTTGACCGCAGTTGCTTGGACCAAGACGCCCGCGCATGTCCGCCCGCCGAGGTCGCCCTGAAGCCGTGTTTATGCCTTACCATTTAGGTCATTACACTTATTCGCGTGTTCACCTTATCGCGCTCCTATTATCGCATTAAGCCTATTTTGGTTGGTGTGGCGATCGATTCTGCCGGCGGTCGAGAGCGCAGACTTTAATTTTATGAGTAGTGAGTGTAAGCGGCGGTGCGCGTGTCGCTCGTCGGATGACATCAGTTAAGCTACCACGTCCGCTAGAAAACAATACGCGCTCAGTGCAAGCGGCGTGCCCGAGTCGGACACACGAGGACCTTTATGGACGAGAGACGGTGTGCGACTTGCGATGCCCTGGGGCGGCGCAGCCTATCCAGCAAACTGCTCCAGGTGGCTACGGCGCAGGCGCATATGCGGACCTGCTCTCATGTAACCACGTCCACGGAACATGCGCAGCAATCAGACCTCGCATCACGCGCCCTCGCCGCTAAACGACGCAAGTCCATAGCAGGCTTTAAGTTAAGCCTGCAGCCAGATACTAACCAAAGAACAACACCTGCTGAACCAACTCGAAGCAATTGTACACGCAGAAACACTTGGTGTTCGTAAGTATGACATGTGTCATTAATTATATGTGGACATCTAATATTCATTTCAGTCCTCTGATATATAATTCTTAATACATTATATATGTCATTTTATAAACAACCAATCATTTCTGTGTTATTCGTAAAACTTACTTTACTTATCGCCATTATCGTTAATACTATCTTATTGTTTATCGCTATCAATTTTTTGTTTTGTATTGTGATTGATACGCGATTGTTGCTGGTTTGTACAGGCTGTTTCTATCAAATTAATACTTTAATAAAACTATCTTTTCGGATTATTTCGCGGATTTATTTTGATTTTTGGTTCCCGACGTTTCGAATGCTTGAGAAAGAAAATCAAACAAGTATGTGTTTGAGACGTCTATAACCTTAGTATCTCCCGTGACCATGATTGCTGTAAAGCATTCGAAACGTCGGGAACTAAAAATCAAGATAAATCCGCGAAATAATCCGAAAAGGTAGTTTTATTTAAAATGACAAATATTCGCGTAAATCTAAAAAATTATTAAAGTAATACTTATTTAAAAAAAATATATAAAATTCACACTTTTCATAGCAGAGTAAATATTGTAATAATCCTTATCATACTGTCGATATAAAGATAACCTTGAATACAACAAAGCAAGTCGTTTAAAATCACGTTTAAATAAAAAGTATAGACGTCAGTAAATGATTTGTGGAATTATTTAAATGGATTAGATAATATTACTAAAGAATTACCCGTCTGTCTTCCTTTATTGTGTTATATTTATAATTTACCTTATTTTAGTTGATAAATTATATATTAATCGTATTGTATTGTACAATCTAAGGAGTGTGGTTTCTATTATTTAATAATACATACATTATGTCTTAACAATGTGCGCTATTCTTGCATTGCCTCATGAGGCCGTTTTTATGCAACTTTTATAACTGACATAACTTTTGCAACGCGTTTTCTTCACTATCTAATTGTAGATGCAGACAGACCGTGCCTATAATGTAAGATTATCGTCCAGTAACCCGAAACTAACGGAAACATCAAATTATTCAACTAAGTCCTATTGCGTCAATAAGGATATGACCAGGATCCAGTCACTTGAGGGAACTCCTTTATGTTGAACCGTTCACAAAGGAACTCTCATAATCCATGAGATACTCATATAGAGTCGTGTAAAATTAATCACTAATCTACGAGTAGTACAGCGTCGACACGCCAAGGTGTTATTACAGTAAATAATTTTAGAAAATCGTTCCACCTATATTCCGTAGTAATTTTATTATATCCGCTTGCGTAAATGTTGCGAGTGTACATGACTGAAATCGATTTTCAAATTATGTTTACCTTAGATTGTACAGAGATCGACATCAAATATGAATGGTTTTTTATTAGTTTTCCTGGTTGCAAATATAATAATAACTGTTTTAAACGTAATAATTACATTGAAAATTCTTATATGTAAATATGTATATAATCAGCACCATAAGTACGTCAATTACCACCCACTTCAGTTAACTCCTGAGTACGCAAGTAGATAGATAACAATGATGATAATCCTCATATAATTGCACTTGTGAAGAATACAAAAAAGTTCACTTTTTGCAAATAGTATAATTGATTCGCTGTCTTTTTTTGTATCCATTTGAAGGTCTCTTTTCATTATTGCGTTCTCTTATGAGTTCAATTATACTAGAACTTATTTCAATAAAGAGCAATTTAAAACTGATTTATTTCTGTAATATTCTAGATATTACTCAGTTACTTCATTGAAAGGTAAATAATTACAAATAATACGAGGTCTAATCAAGTCCCAATCCCTTCACAGTTACCTAGTACGTTAAAGTTACACAACTTCTATCGCATGTTACACGTTATAAACACAAAATGCATTAGTCTTCGGCTACCGTTAGCTTAAATGTTTCGATATCCGAACCATGAAGGAAAGTTTAAGCTTGAATGCTTACTGAATTCGACAATTTAAAAACTTATTTATAGTGATTAAGGCATACAACAACATAAAATCTTAAAATGCTCTAAGTCATTTGAAGAAAAACTAAGTAATTTATGTAACAATTGACTATTAATACTAGCATTGCCTGCGGCTCCGCCCGCGTTCAGATGACCAAAAAGCAAATTCTTATGTTTTACATATTAGTATACTCTTACATTGCAGTTTTTTATTTTTTCTCAGAAATGAGATATTTTCCCGCGGAAAAATGTATCCTATATGTTGACCTGGATAACCAGCTATCACCATACCAAATTTCATCAAAATCCCTCCAGTGGTTTTTTTGTGATGCGGTAACAGACATACAGACAGACAAGAATTTTAAAAACTATAGATTCGGCCTCTGTATCGATAATAATGTCTATTTGAATAAGGTTTTCCAAAAAATATTTAATGTACAGATTCGGCTCAGTTACAATTTTATTATATTCATATATTATATGTGAGCGTTAAAATATTAATAGTAGCCAAAACAATACCATTTTGATCTATCTTTTTGTTTATCAATTTAATCGCGTTTATCACAGGAACTGCTTGACTGAACCACATGAAACTTTTTCATTAAGCTTAATATATTCAAGCTTATATTCAAATGTGCTGCAAGCATTTGAACACATAGCCTTTACGTGCTGTGGTGTTAAACGAGAAACTTTCAGTGCCTTTAGACTAATTAAAAATAAACAAATGCATGTACATTCACAGGCAGTACTTAGTATTACTAAATAAAAGATCGTTAAAATAATATTTGTTATTGTCAAGTCGTCTGAAAGCACCTTTATATTAGAAATATCAAGGTTAAATTACTAACTGTAATAATTAATTGAAGTTTTGCATGTGGTCATTGTAAATATTGCGTCATAGAAAAATTACTCGAAGCTTTAATAGCAAAACTAGTTTGAAAAATACCATTGTTATAAATTCCTTAAGAAAAATGACTTGCATTTTATACCTTAAGTAGTGTGTTGTGGAAACGCATTTTTTATTTCGATTATAGAAGGTATTTTATCAAAGAATATGTCTTGAATAAAATACATATTCGGTATATCTTACATTTTATTTTAATATTAGATTAGGCAGTGGTAACTCAGTGGTAACGCGTTCGCTTGGGAAACCGGGTGAAACGGACTCAAATCCCGGGTCAATTTTCATGTCCGAATCATTTCCAACAAGATTACCACTTGTCTTACGGTGAAGAAAATCTCCATGTCTGAGAGAACCTAGTTAGTTTTCGAAAGACTTCGCACTTGGCCAGTGTGGTGGACTATGGCCTGATCCCCTTAGTATTGAAGGGAGGCCCGTGTCCAGCAGTGGGACGTTAAAAAAAGCTGAATACGAATACGATTTTAATTTATGAATTTAGTTCCTACATTTTGATAGGATTTCAACTTTTTACTGAGTAGGAAAATTTTGCTATTGCCCTACAACATATACAAATAAATTATACAAATGTTTTAATGAAAACAAACAGCTAATTAATATTTATGTGAAGTTTTAATCACAAACCAAGGTCGACAAGTATTACGATGATACAAGAGTGCAGTAAACAATAAACGTTCTAGTTACTAACGCATTGCATATAAAACACTTTTAACGTCGTCACATGTATGTACATATGTCCCTATACATACATATTCATCAAATGATACTTGTCTAACAACTGCGACTTTGTTTACTTCTAATATCATTGATGGCCCTGACTTTGTATATATCAGTATAGTACCTACGATATGATCCTCTTGATAAACTACATTTGTCATCATTGACACTTAAAATTAAATTGGCTAATAGATACTACTTTTTAAAATTTCAATGTATAAGAAAATTTCGTCATCTGTACATTTATTATTACAGAGTACAATGGGTAATTTTACGTTATAATTTAAATCTTTTAAGAGTTACACATATATTCCATTAAATTACAAAGGCAACATTAAAAAGTGCTTTAATGCAATACGCTTGCTTAACTAGTAGAACCTTCAAAATGAATGTAAAACAGAACTGCTTATTAATAATATATACATTATGTATATTAAAGTAGGCTTAAAGTATATTGTATTAACGTAATTTTTAGTTATATCGTTATGATATTAGTTCTTTAGATGCTATAGACAAAACCAAAGTTTATGATAAGAGCCTATAAAAGAAAAGGAAAGTATTCAAAGTCAATTTTCTTATTAATATATAAATAAATAATATGTCGAGACAATAACACACAGCACCATCTAGTTCCATGGTAAGCTACGAGGCCTGTGTTAAGGATACCAGACAGTTGATACATTACACATGTATGTTTTAAAATATATACATATTATAAATATGAACACCCATGACTGGAGTACAAACATTCGTGCTCATCACACAAATGAATGCCCCCAGCAGAACTCGAACTCGCTACCACTGGCACAGCAAGTAGCGTCACTAGAAACTGAGCCAAACGTGTCGTCAAAGAACTTTGCTTGTATCCGAAATCGAAATAAGTAGAAGCACTATCAAAGTTAATTAGATTAATTCATTTATCTGCAGCAATGCAAGAATTAACACCAATCAAACGTGAAACAGTAGTTTCTGTTTACATACAATGCTCTGTTGAACTGTAATAAAAATACTACAACTACTAGCGATCCAAAATTGGCACGTTCGCGGCCGCAGAAATTAAATTTATTCACGCCATTTCCATACGCGCGTTAGTTGCGAAAATAACTCATTATTATATTACCAACCGACCGGTAATCATTTCATAATATGTGTATTTTGTAAGATGCTTCGCTGTCTTCTTACAACAGTAGGTGAATTATCTCCCGTGAGTTGTGTTTGTTTGTTAGGAGATCGATTTTGTTTATTCGACTTGAATAGACGCCAAGTAGTTAGTAACGCTTCTGGTTCAATTACTAGTCGTCTGTTTTATGTTAGAAAACTGATTATATTGTGTGTATCAGCTGGTTTTGATATTTATGATACAGCATTTTATGTATGTACATTTATTTGATAGGTTGAGAAAAATTGCGATAGATTTTCATTTTGAAATAAATATACTGTTCCGTAATATATTGTTTATATTACGGAAATAGAGCCAATGTGCATATGAAAAACGTTGTTTTCCTCACCAGTGTTTTGTTATTCCAGAATTTTCACACTGGGTCGTTGTTTATTATCTATTGTTCTGTTCTTTCGTTATAACAGATTTTAATCATTTTTAATTTTTGATCCTTAGTCGATGAGAATTATTAACATATATTTATCCTTTATATTATATTTATTTAACAATTATACGTAGTAGTATTTAACTTAAGTAGTAGTAACTCGTACTCGACAGTTAAATATACAGTTTGTATTGAATTTTATTAAATGCTAAGATTTATTTTCAATTCGCGCATTGGAGAACAATGTGCGGAAGTCTTTGCGTAATTACTGCGATAATAGTTTGATGCTCTTTAACCAGCTTAGCTATATTTGAACATATTAAATTAACTTTATACCTGTTATTTTGTTAGGTTTATATTATAATATTTTGTTTGGAATTTTCATTGTCCAATTATTCTGATTAACGTATGTACGAGTACGTTATATACATAATCTAAATCTATTTAATTTCTATAAGCATTCGGAGGGTAATTAAATTATTTAAAATAATATACGGAAGAGTCTCATGTAATTAATGCGGCAACAGTTTTACGACAAATTAACCGACTGGCTAATAATAAGTACTGCAGAGTCACAATGCTTAAATTAGTATTGTATGTACACAAGTCATAAAAGTTTAGTCTTGTCAGTGTAGAGCCATAAATTGATCATTGATTTCTCTTGATATACCATCAATTGAATAGTTAATATTGAATAAGTTATTTTTTACAGTTTATACTCTTAAAAACAGGTTAAAATTTAGCTCTCGATACTTAATCACCTGTCTTCTTTGTTTTATTTTTGTATTACCTTCGACGTTTATAAAAACTGCCCAAATCTTGACCAGATTGCCTTGAACCTAAACGAATAATGTTATTCAAAACGAACATTAAATGCAAGATACGGCAGTTATGGATTCATTCTCGTTTTAAAGTGCGGCCTGTGAGGCGGAGCGGGTGTGTCGCAAAAGCGTTGCCTAGGTGTTCGGAGGCGCCATCGTAGCCCGTAGTAGGTAGAGGCGTGCGCGCGCCGCTCGCTGGCCCCCTCCCGCGCGCCGCCCTCTCGCCCTGCTCCCAGTTTGCCGCAGAGCGTCGCTCAGCTCGCCCGCGTCTCACCACCCACAACCTAACAGCTCTACCTCAACACGCACAACGTTCACAAAATAAAACGCAAACACGGCTCCGCTACAACCGAAGGCCGGGACGCGACAGTCCCGCATAAAACACTCGCTCACCGAAACGGGAGCCATGCAAACTAAACTCATAAGTGCAAGCTACTCGTCAATCATGAACAAACAGGATTTGCTCAGAGAAGTCGTCGTCAAGTACATCGACTACTTCTACCCTGTGTGAGTATCTATACTGTTATATTCGGATACCGCTCGAGTGTGGCGCACTGCGTCTTTTCATTATGTCAGCGGCGATCGGGTGGCGGCGCAGCGAAGGATGTGGCGAAGTTTAGCTGTTTAGCGAACCGGTAAGTCGGTGAAGGTTCCACGGCAATGACTCTAGCTGCAGCTGGACGATGCTTGCGATTGGCTGACGTCAGCGCCGCCTCTTGAACCTAACCGTCTTTATCGTCACTGCTGCTGTATCGATCCGCTGCATTGAACACCAAATCGTTTTAACACACTATATTGTATACATCTAATATGTATTAGACTCGATATTGACCTCGCAAGCTTAGACACTGGCATTGATCTTTTCGATAAGCAAACAAAAACCTTCAGTCGTTTAAAACGTTTTCTATAAGTACTTATGTATAGAGCTGTTTACTGTTGGTCAATTTGTAAATTTACTTTTTTCCATCATTTGGCACTTTCATTGCAAAGAGCATAGTATATCGTTCTCTGCATTGTATATGGGTACATATTATACGTTATCCGTTAAATTTGGCCAGACAGCAGTGTATCTGCCTTTGCAAATGGATGCCATATTGTTAGGTCATGGAAATAAATATCATTCATGATGAAGTCATTCATAACTGGAATCACAGCATATCGTAAAAAACCAAAGGAAAGCATTGTTGCGTGACCTTTTTGCGTGACTATCACTGACCGGATCGCATACCCTCAGTGTTCCACTTTGCCCTTTGTGTCCAATACATTTTATCGCTAACGCTTCGTGAGTTTTAAAATATACATTAAATTACTTTTTGGAAAATATAAGCTGTCCTTGTAACCTTATTTAAAAAAGCAACAATTTGATATAATTGTCTCAACATACATACATATGTATGTGCTCTGTGAGCTCAAAATTCTCAAATATGTCGGCGTTTTGAGAATTCTCAATACTCTTCAAACTATCCTAGTCAATTGGTTCTATTTAGTTATTATACCCGCATAAATGGCATAATATTTATACAAAGTTTTAAGGCATAACGGTCGATTCGATCGTCAAAAACTGGTAACAGTAGTGTCGACATCGTCTCGTCGATTTCCCTTCAACGACCTTGGAAGTGGCGCACGCCACTCACTGCCATAACATAATGCACTGCACCACGATTATCTGTTAAGAATTACGACGTTTAATATGAAGCCTTACATATAATACTATAATAGAATGCTACAACGAGTAAAATTCTGATGTAATAATTGTACACCATAAATTTTATGTAATGCAGTTACTATGACTAGTTATATAGCTTACTTATTTTTATTGTTTCTCTAGTTTTCAAATTTCTAATTCTATAGTCTGTTTTGCTTTATCAATATAATATCTATACATATAATAAAATTGTAACTGAGCCGAATCTGTACATTACGTATTTATTGGAAAATCTCAATGAAATGGACATTATTATCGATATACAGAGACCGAATCCATAGTTTTTAGAATTTTTGTCTGTCTGTCTGTCATGTGTGTGACCGCATGACATAAAACCCACTGGAGGTATTTCGATGAAATTTGGTATGATGATAGCGGCTTATCGGGGTCAACATATGTATAGGATACTTCTTACTGCGGGAAAGTATCTCATCTCTAAGAAATCTATACTAAACGCTAAAACGTAAGTAGGGACGAACCCGAGAGGAGCGAGGGTGAGTTGCTAGTTTAAATATATTAATTATTATCTATACTTAACATTGTGTACATTTTTACGTCACATGTGACATGTGACTAATGAAGTAAATGTTGAATTTTCATGAGACTTGCATATTTATTTCTTAACCTTTGTCATCTATGCGGTATTGTTTTACATCAAGGTGTGATTCACTAAAATAAAATTGTACGATTTCATTGTTTTGTTTGCTTTGACAACTTTGGTAATAAATACCTGTAAGTCATCGCTGTTATAACATTCTGAATGTTAATCATAAAAGGATATAGATAAATATATGTGTATTGAGATATGTAAAAATTCTAATGTAATTCAGTTTTAATCGACACTTTACAAACTTAGTCTAAAATTTAGCAATAATAGATTTTTCTCTCAAAGTTATTGGGAACGTTTTGTCATTTGGAAAATTTTAAGCGTTTGAATATGTTAAAAATTGGGTTCTTACACCAAGTATGAACGTATGTACATATATAAAAACACAGAGTATCTTTCTTACAAAAAATGTGATAAGTCCAAACTAGGAGATATTTCTCAAGCACTAAAGCTTTTGTTAAAGTTCTATTCACGATGCTATAAAGTGAAGGGCTAAGAAAACACGCACGTGCGTGATGACAAAGCTCTTATCGTTCTTTGTTCACTTGCAGTCCATATCATAATACCTTAAACAATGTTTTTACGCTCTCGTGTTCAGGCTCACACATAATGTGCGTTTCCTGATAACCAAATATGTTGCTTCTAATAAAAAAAATACTTACTGTTGAATTATTAAAAATCAACTATCATCATTGCAAACTTTATTTATTTTCCTATGTTTATTGTATATAATATTCACATGTCACCGAAGTTGGCAAATGCTTTCTCTACTTTTTTGTTCTTGGCTCTACTCATTCATATGTCCGTTACTATGTGCAATTTTTTCACCATCTACTTACGTAATCTGTCACGACCATAAAAACTTGTTTCACCGAAATCAGCCAAGAGAAAGCCTGTCTTATTTCCATTTTTCTGTCACTATGATTTCAGTTTGGCTTTCAAATGTATCGACAATGATTAATCATAACCAATAGTTTTTATGGTTGTTCTCATATGAACATTGATTATGGACGTCACCGGCGGTCATGCGGTTTACGAGCGTTATTTAATACTTAAGTTCAGTAACGGACTGGTCGAAATCGATACGCAATCGTCGCCGCTGTTGTTCTGAATGCTTCAGTGGGCTCAACTTAAGCGTTGTGCTGTTCACCTCATTGACGCGGCACGGAATCCGAAGCGGGAGAAAGTCAAGTACGTACCCGTGCAACGTGCCACATACTAGCTACCGGATGATTACACGAATGAGATTGGATCATAATGGATAAGTCCGACAATGAGCAACTTAATGATGGCAGTAGATGCTACCAATTAGAGTGTGTCGGCATAATAGGTGTATTCCGCGTACACGTGGTAATTCGTTTATATTTCTTGAGAAATGCTGTATAGTTACATGTTCGCATTTACTATTAAAATGTTGTTTTTAAGAAAAGTTCAGAAATACCGACCAGCACAGTAAAGTTTTTTTTGCTTTTGTTCTAAAAAATTAATTTCAATTGCATTTTTATACATGATAAAATATAAGTTAGCATGAAATTGGAAGAAAAATTAAAGGAAAAGCAACACGCTGTTATCGTTGTACTTTCATCGACAAATTAGAGGGTATAGGTCTACAAGTATAACTAGTCTGTTGTTCGCCTATTGTTCTCTTTGTTGCCACATACAACCGCTGTGGGTCACTGCTCTTGCGTTATTTATCCACAACACTCTACGCTAATGTAATCATCCGTAAACTAACTTGTGCAAGCGGATCTTCTTCTCAAAATTACCGGTTTTTTTGTTTGTTATTACAAGCAACTCAATTTTACGATCTAGCGCTGTAATAATAATTAAATTCCTTTCTATCGTCCTTGTACAATCTCCGAATGAGAAATATCGATGTATAACGCACGTGAATATGACTGATAAGCGCTTTATGTGCGCATTCCTAAACGATAGCGTGGAAAACAAATAATAAAATTGCAATTTTAGAGACCATATCAAGAAAGTATTTTTTATTATTAGTAAATCGATAAAATACTTAAGCCCTATAAATATAGGGCTTAAGTATTTTATCAATAGAATTGTGCTTATGCGAGTGTAACTTGCGTGAATTTCGTATACAACAGGACATCAGGCATCCGTGCGTGGATATAATAAATTCATCATTTGAAGTTTTTAATATACTGTTAACATAAACAAACAAATAATTAATTAAACTTTATATATAGTGTTGTCGAATTTTTTCCACATATTTTTATAGATTTTTTTAAGTTTTAGATAGAGAAAATATATATTTTAAACCACATAAAGTTTTTAGGTATAGTAAAAATTAGGATGTTTATATAAAAACATGTTTGTTTAAAATATTCTTGACACTCTATTTAACTTTATTATGTTTGTTACAGCGCATCAGGCACAAGCGCCGTGGCCATCGACAACAAGATCGAGCAAGCTATGGTGAGTAAACACTTTGATTGACATTTGACAAATGTATAGACAGACAGTTAAATAGTAATTGAGAATACTGAGAAACGTTCAGTTAAATTATACCGAAACCAATTTGCATTGATAAACGACACGGACGTGACGATTGGTAAAAGTTAACCTTTCCCTACTATGGAAAAGCAAGTTTGACGAGATGCACGAGTTGTAGTGAAGCATCTACATTTCCCACTTATAGAAACCTTTCAATTGTAGAAGATAAATTTAAAAGCTAAATGATTTACTAATAACGTTAGTCGTTATCATAAATGCTAGATCTATACTAATATTATAAAGAGGTAAAGTTTGTGAGTTTGTGACGTTGTAGGGGGTAATCTCCGAATCTACTGAACCGATTTAGATGAAATTTGGTATGAAGATAGTTTAAGACCCTGGGAAGGACATAGGATGCTTTTTGTCCCGGAAATCATAATTTAAGGTGGTGAAAATGGGGATGGAAGATTGTATAGGGAATAACGTTAGGGACGAACAAGAGCGAAGCGATTTTAAAATACATAGTAACAACGTGAAATTATTATTGACAACATATGTGTAAGATAACACGGATACCATATAACCGGCGATTGAAACAACATATCATATTCTACACGTGCACTCCCCGCAACTTAACTAGTTAATGCATAACGTGAGAGTTAATACCTAATTCACATTATAAACTTAATTGCTTTGTGACGCAAATATGTTTTAAATGCATTTTATATGACGTTAAACGTTATAGAGCGCGAAGAACAATAGCAAAAATAACATGATCTTTTGCGTGACTATGATTGCTTTAAAGCATTCGTTTTGTAAACGTCAGGAATCAAAAATCAAAATAAATTTGTGATCCGAAAACATAGTTTTATTTAAAACTAATGATTCACCCTCGCTTCGCTCGGGTTAGTCCCTAGCTTGCTTCCCCATACAAACTTTCATCCCCATTCTCACTCCCTTAAGGGATGATTTCCGGGATAAAAACTATTTCACTCACTTACTTTTCATATCATGACACTTTAAAAAATCGTTTTTTAGTATTTTTTTATTTAAATTTTCTTCTATACAAAACTTCCTGACAATAACAAACACAAAAAAAAGAATTATCCAATTTGGTGCAGTCGATCGGAAGTAATGCGCGTACATACATTTCGGCGATTTATTTTTAATTATATAGATGCCAAAAGTTCGCGTAAATATAAAAAAAGTAGTACCCAGTAGTGATATTTTCCCTTTTATTGTTGTGAAGTAATATCTCTTTCACCTTTAAAACAATTGTAATTTCAATAATAACAATTTGTCAAACTTTTTAATGTTCTTCTTTTAGATACAATCGAGATGCAATTATTTGTTTTTAAGTCAAGCGTCAGCGATATTGATTATATTTTTTTGCATTTGGACCTGTTCGTCGGTTTTTTTGCTACTTATAAATACGTTGGTGGTTTATTTAAATATTATTTTGGTTTTGAGTGAATTTTCACCGTTCATTTTAAATGATTTACGTTCTAACATTAAAAATAATAATCAGTATATTGTATATAGAATTATTTATGTTAAATGATACAAAGCATACATGTTTAAATATACATATTTATATTATATATAAATGTGTTATTATTACATCAATAGAACAGTAATTTTTAGTTTTCTAATTTTTCTGATTTTACTTTACATTTTTCTACTTTAAAATAATTTTGTACTTACATTTGCTTTTATCGATGTATACAATAGACATAGAAGACAATCTAAATTAGTTCATAGTGTAAATTAGGCGGCAGAGGCCAGCAATATTAACGCTACAGCGACCCGTAAACACAGAACAATAATTATAATAAATGCCCGTCCGTAAAAGCCAATCGGTATGCGTGTCAATCCGCAACACGCCTCGCACTCGGCGACCTGCAATTATCTCTACAATTAGGGCTAATTGACTTGATTACTCTCACACTTCTACAAGAAATTAAGCTCCAAAGAAAGTTATTTGAGCGTCAAAAGTACATAATGACTCGAATATTCACTCCATTAAAATTTTATGGATAACTAACAGAGATAAAAATTGATGGCGTTTTATGTAACGTCAAAAGTTTCCAGTTTCTAATTGTAAGATTTAATTTATTCACATTAGATTTAGATAAAGGTAGTTGAATTTTAAAAGATTGAAATGGCAGAAAACCGAAAACAACACAATATGCAATTGACATGAATGATTAAATGAAAGTACAAAAGAATTTAAAAACATATTAAACTAGCATTGCCCGCGGCTCCGCCCGCGTCCAGATGACCAAAAACTAAATTCTTAGGTTATATATTAGTATACTCTTACATTGCAGTTTTTGTATTTTCTCTCAGAAATGAGATATTTTCCGCGGTAAAAAGTACCATATATGTTGACCCGGATAACCAGCTATCACCATACCAAATTTCATCAAAATTCCTCCAGTGGTTTTTCTGTGATGCGGTAACAGACAGACAGACAGACAGACAAAATTCTAAAAACTATAGAATCAGCCTCCGTATCGATAATAATGTATATTTCAAAAATATTTTTCATAATTTTTTTTAGTACAGATTCGGCTTAGTTACAATTTTATTATATGTATAGATTAACAATAGAAAAATAGGACAAATTTACTGCCACTACTCAATGCAGTGTTGCAATAGTATCAATGTATGATGCTATCCTACGCATAACGCGGCTATGTCAGTGTGTCGCTAAAGTTCCGTGTGAAGTTGAGCTCAATACAAGGTTCTAGGAAACTATATGCACTCCGTTAAGATAACGATTGTATTAAAGTTTTTGTGTTATTTTATATAACGTTAGTTTATTGTGTTATAAAGTAATTTATATAATGACGACATATGCACCCAATTAAGGATATTTATCTATTCAAAAGAGCAAGCTAGTATTAATTGTAAATAGTATGTAACTGGGTATCTCCGGATGTGTGCGTTGATTTTATTTCATAACAACACAGTTTCATAACGTTTTTGATTGAGTTCCTGCACTTGGTAACTAGACGAAACTAGAGCTAATGAAAATAACACTGTAATTTCCTAACACCGGATCTTTAACTTAGTATCAGTTCGAAGTTATTAATTGGTACAAAGTGTAATTCTGTGGCTGACGTCTCCTTCTGTACGGTACTCGAAAACGAATAAATCTGCATAACTGGAATGATTTAACCGTCAGACATTCAGATTATCGTTATTTTAATAAATAGGTTAATTTTGAAATGAATTAATAATATGTATATCTATACGAATATTATAAAGAAACAGAGTTTGTTTTTTTGTTTGTTTGAACGCGCTTATCTCAGGAACTACTAATCTGATTTGAAAAATTCTTTTTGCATTACATAGCCCGTTTATTGAGGAAGGCTATATACTATATATCATCCCGAAAAATATTCGGTTCCCGTAAGATAGATTTGTTTTTGTCTAGAGACGAACCTGAAGGGAAACGAGGTTAAGTCGCCAGTATGTAATATATTTTCATTATAATACATAAAATAACTATTTAAAGTGCAATGTTTTACTCTGTCTCGGTTAAATCATTACGTTCATTTTATCGTTTTATACATGTATGTATGTATATTGTATAAAGATTTTCACTACCACCGTTGCCATTACAATATCGATTTGGAATAACTCTAGCACTTCCTTGTCGCAATTTATTTAAAATTCAAATCGAAGTAATATAGCGTATATGGCGTCTTTCTAAATAGATTCGCCAGTTGTTTAGTCGCAAAACAACTCTATCTTATTCCTCTATTGACAAAGTTACACAACAACAGTCTTAGACAAGTGTCGTTATGTTTATCTTCTGCGATAATACTCCCTTTTCATTATTTTTATATTTGAACCCGTCACTTATATCTCAATACTAACGTATCTTTCCACTCTAGATAATTTAATACATTTTCGCGATTGCAATTGAGGCTCATAGATGTGCGTTATTGAAGTCGACGCGCATCGTCTATAATTAGCTGCCACAGATGGCCTCAAGCGATTGACCCCAATCCGGCCCTAATGCCCACTAACATCGCAACATATTTTTACCACTCCATGTCCAGTACGCTCGTCTGATTCTTTTTGCTCTAATAACGCAGTGACTTTGTTGTTTACTCGCTTGGCTTGTTATAAATTAATCGTATCGCTAGTATCGTTGATAGCCATCGTTTTTAATACTTTTAATCTTATTTGCTCCATTATAACGTATATACTAACGTTATCTTGATATATGTTGCGTCTTATCTATCGACTAATTATTGCTAATTTAGTATTTGATATGTGTACATATAGTGAGCCAAGCTTCGATATAACTTGTACATATTCAATAACATAAGCATGCTCTTTGCTACTTATTGCTTTTATTCCAGTTTCTAAAATTTGTCAATCACCATTTATAAAAAAGTAATAGGATTGATTTTTATCCTTTTATAGTAACATGACGATCCAAAAATAATCACATGATCAGTTGTTTGCCTTGGAACTCCATCGAATGTATCTTAGCAGTAAACGTAGCTGTAGCGCTATGAATAAAATTAATAGTATTCAACAAAATTATAATTTCTGAATGTTGTACTGTTGTCGTTTCAAAATATCTCACGCCTTCCATTGCATATTACGTCACTTTAGTTATGTTTACTCAAGATTCTCGCCCAATTGGTGTTTGGAAGCCATAGCTCACACTACTGACCCGGATTCCGCCGGATGTAATACGCTTAGATTAGACGGCTATTTCGTTTTTCCTTTGATCAGTTGACATTCTATCGCTATGTAAAATGTACCTCTATTATTTTATTCCGCAAAAAAAAATGTTAACTCTATTTTAAATGTTTTTTGAATGTGTCTATATCGCACTCTATACTTTAGCGCGCTCTATAAAGACTAAACCGGGTGAAAAATCTAAAGTATTGATTTATTTTAATTTTTATAGAGTGTTAGGGGATACATTGCTTAAATAAAGCGTATTTATCATT